AGGCTTTAGCGCTCCACAGTCGACGGTGCAAGTGGGCCCGTTTTTCCGGGGAGTTGAGTCCCTGGATGTTGTTAGACCAATACGTCAGCTGGGCCGGGGCAAACGCCCGGGTGGCAGCCATTTTGGGAGGAGGGAGGGGGCCCCACTCGCAGCGGCACTGGAGGGGTGAGGGGAAGGATGTCGTCTAGAATGCGGGTTCTAGGAGGATGGGGTTATCTGGGGTCAGGAGGACCCGCGAACGGGGTTAGTTTGGGTGTGACGTCGACCCTGTACCGGATTTTGGGGGTTCTCGGGAGTTGGTTACCTGACCTTCCCTGAGGTTCCGGTATAATTTACAGGAGGGTCTGTCTCAGTGAGGCTCGGTGTCGTCTTGACCAATGGAGTGGCTCGGTCTAGTGGTCGGTCGTCATCTACTGTCTCCTTCAGCTCCCAACCTGATTTGGGCTTTCGTAGTAGCTATGTCTCTCGGTGTAGTGTTGAAGATGGGGTGCATGGTAGCAAGTTCTCACATGTCGCTGTGGGGCCATTTGTGTATCTTGTTGTGTGCTTTTAAAGGGCGTGTCCCTCCCAGTCTCCCCCTTCGTTGTGTGTGTTTGTGGCTGTCTGTTCGACTCCCTGGCTCGCTCATGGCCGTATTTGGGTCGGGGTTCCGCGGTGTTCTTGGGAAGAATTGGTGTATGTGTGCGCGGCGGGTCCGTAACAGTCAGTGGCGCCGGGCCGTGGGGTCTCACCTCCTGTCGGCGTGGAATCAGACGGGCTGTGTTCGGGTCTGTTCGTCCCGGAGTGGAGCCCTTGATGTCTGCCCGTGGCTTGGATTCCGCTACACGGGCCCAAGGACCGCTGTTCGGGTCCCAAGTCTTGTCATCTAGGGGCCCCGTTGCCGTCTGTCTTGGGGGGCTTCTCATGCTTGGGGCATATCGGGGGTGTGCGGCGTCGTGATAGTGTGTCTGCCTCGTTATGTTCTGGTAAGTGTAGCGTGCGTGACACGTGGCGGAGCAGGAGTGAGTGCACATGCGCGTCAGGGGTGGATTGTGTGGGGGGGGTGGTTCGTGCCTGCAGCTGGGTTACTGTCAATGTTTTGCTACGTTATAGGCCGTGCAGTCCCTGATCCCCCCAGTCTGTCTTCTGTGTCCGCGTGATGCGTCCATCATCCCCCCCTCCTTATCTGTTAGTTCGTCCCCTGCGAATCCCGAGTATTGTGCCTTTGCCATGCCCTAGACGCCCGTACATCTCTCTGGTTCACTTATGTGCACTCTTAGCCCCTCCCAATGTGATCGCTAGTGTAATGGGCCTGGTGTGACGCACAGGGTGTCTCTTCTAGTGCATGACCAGTGCATATGTGTTACTCTGGTGGGCGCTCTTTGTGGTAACCGTGGGCATTAACTTGTCTAGTGGAATATGTACAGTAGTGGGACACCCCGTCTACCACTCGGGTTCCCAACATGTGACACAAGTGTCCCCTGTTATCCAACCGCCACTACCCACTCCCGGAGCCCCCCCTGACCGCCCGGCATCAGTTTGGACTGCTGTCCGTTGTGCAGCTACGTTTAGCGACTGTTTTGGTAGGGAATTCGACTTGTTGAGGGCCTGGTTGCCGTCCATGGGGAGTTCCACATTGTCCCATGTGTCCCCTCTCCCATGGAATTCCCCCCCACCCAACCTGACAAGGGACCCCGCTGTAGGTGCTTGGCTTTTGGTAGGTCCGGGTGGTTCTAACCTCTATAGCTGACCCCCGGGCTGCCCCGCCACCCTCCTAGGCAGGTTCCCCCCTTGTCCCCTGATTAGTGTAGTGGAAGAGTACATACCCCTGGCAGGCAGGAGCGTGGAGAGTCCCGGGCTGGAAGGATTCCGAAGGAGATAGGGGTCACGGTAGCAGGGTCTTGGTGTCGGAGCGGCTCAGGGAGGAAGTTCCCGTAGCTATTCAGGGACGGTATTGGTTTATTCTTCTGAGTTCTCCGGGCCTCCCCTGCGTTGTGGTGGAGTGGGTCCCGAGCGGAGGTTATGAGCTACTTCCAACGGACCCGTGGCCCGGGCTGGGGGACCCTCCAGGATCCAATTCGGGATCTGTATCATGGGTAGGCCCGCAGCTTGTAGAAAGCGGGGGACGTCGTTCGGCCAGCGGATTATGTGCCAGACATTGCCTGAGCGGGCTTGGAGGCTGAATGGGAACCCCCATTTATACGGTATCCTTCTCTCTTGCAGCATCCGTGTCAGTGGTCTGAGTGCTCAGCAGGCATCTAGGGTAATTGTGGACAGGTCCTGGTAGAGGGAGACTTGGGAGTCCATGTATGTGATCCTTTGCTGCGCCCTTGCTGCTTGCATTATGGCCTCCTTTAGTTGGAAGGATTCTAGGGAGCAAATGATGTCGCGTGGGAGGCCGTCCCTTCTAGGCGCCCGCAGGGCCCTGTGCGCCCTCTCCAGTCCGAAGTCACTAGGAGCCTCGCTTCCCATGAGGTGTGTGAACAGGCCAGTTAGGACTTCTTGAGGGATTTCTCCCTCGGTTTCTGGGAGGCCTCGGACCCTTATGTTTTTGCGACGACCTCTGTTGTCGAGGTCCTTCACTTGGCGGCGGATGTCCAGGAGAATGTTTCCCTGCCGCCCTGTAGCCAGTTCAGCCGCATGCATTGTTTGGGTGTGCTGGAGGCGGTCTTCCTCCAAGCTATCTACGCGTTGTTCCAGGGCTGAGAGGTCCCTGCGGACCGCCGTGATCTCCTCCCGGATAACAGCCTTCAATTCCGCGACCATGTCTGTTTTATCTTTGCGGGTGAGCATGTTGTTAGTGATAGTTGCCAGGTCTGCAGATATTTGGGTCAGTGTAAGGGCCGCCGGAGGGGTCCGGTCCGAGTGCGCTATGCTGGAGGTCGGAGAGGACGGCGTCGGCGTGGCGGAACCGTCTAGGCCTCGCGGGCCCTGGGATGCCAGTAAGTATTCGTCCATCGGGCCGGGGTTATATTTCGCCGGTGTGACACCGGAGTTACCAGCGGCGTTTGTCTTTTTGCTTTTCCCCATCTTTTTTGGCTGTTTATGGTGCTATTTGCCGGGGTTTACCAGGTTGGGGCCTAGGAGCTTAGGAGCAGTGCGTCTTACTCCATCGGCAGTCCGGACACGCCCCCCCTCATATTTTCAATCAGTGCTTCACACCTTCAGCACACGTGTTCTGCATCTGCACAAGTCTATGCTTAGTCTATAATTATAGATTTTGAGGCACCAGGTGAGTGAGTTAACTGCCTATTATCTGCTGAACTAGTTAAAGCATGCAGGAGCAAGTCTGATCTGCGATCAGCCAACATGGCGGCCCGGTCCCACCCCAGATGAAAATAATTTATATCTATTTTACATTATTGTTTTAAACTGATTGATGTGAGGAGATTTTCGGATGACAGTCCTTCTTTAAATTTACTACTCTTTCCCATTGGTTGTCTACATCTTACTCTGTATTAAGGTATCCGTAACTGTTCTAGGAGTTTAGAAGCAGAGCTAGTCCTGTTAAAAGTTAATATCTGTATC